GAGAAGGGAAGGGAAGAGCAGAGCAGAGCAGAGAGGGGGCTGAGGCAGCGCAGGGCCGTGGGGGTGCGAGGGGCGGTGTTGCAGGAGGGCGAGGCAGTGGGGAGGCTGCTGTGGGGCTGTGGGGAGGCGTGAGGGCTGCTGAGGCTGGGGCAGAGCGTGCTGGGAGAGAGGGGCCAGGGGGGCGGTGTGGCAGGAGCAGGAGGGGGTTGTCAGGGGCTGCAGGCTCACCTGGTTGGCGGCACAGAAGGCAGGAGAAGGCGTCAGGAGAAGCGTGTGAGGGAGAGAGGCGCTGGGCCGGCTTTTATGCAGCTCCCGCAGGGGCGGCACAGCCTTGGCCCAGCACTGTCAGCTGGCGGCAGCTTGGAGGGGTTGGTTTGTGGGAGGCTTGGCTTGTTGGAGGTGTGTCAGGGAGGGCTGAGTAAACACCCAGAGCCCAGGAGAGGTGTGATGTCATGAGGGAGGTGATTTGGTGTCCCTCGTGTGCTGTGGTTTGTGGGTGCTTTGTGCTGAGTGGGCCCCCTCTTGTTCTGTGGGACTGGATGTCCCTCAGTGCTTGTGTTGCACCCAGGAATGCTGAGGGAGCCATTTTGTGGCTCCTGCAAGAGGACACTGCTGGACCTTGGAGAGGTAAAATGCCTGGGATCCCTTCCTGATGGATGAAGGAGAGCTCCTGCCCTTGTATCTTGAATGGGATCAAGAGGGAGGATCTGGAAAAGCAGAGGCTGCTCAGGCTGAACTTTTCCCATTGGTATGGTCCTTTTGAATTTCTCAGGTTTACAGGACAATGTACTCTGTTATTTAAAATGTGTTCCTTGACCTCCTGAAAAAATGCAAGAAAGAAACACCCAATGGGGCTCGATCCCTTTGTGCCCAGGCTGGGCTGTGACATCAGTTCTCTTGTTCCACGTTCAAGCAATGAAGTTTCATAACTTCTAAGATGTAACAAAACTAATAGGCTGTAAACATCCTGGACCTGTGAGTAAAAAATTATAATTACTAGTGGACAGTTGACAAGCTCCTGTCTCCTCTTCTGTCATAAGAAGGGAATTCCTACGTGGAATTCTGTGATTCCATGCCCTGCCCTTGAGACCGTGTCCATCTGCCCTTGGCGGCAGCTTTCAAGGGACAGTTGTTGTTTGGGAGCAGTTCCATTGAAGATGTGTCAGGGTGGACTGAATAAAGAACAAAACCCAACAAAATTAGGTTGTCATCAGTGAGGTCACCCCGTGTCCCTCGTGTGCTGTGGTTTGTGGGTGTGTTGTGAAGGGGGCCCCAAACCCTCCCAGCCCTGTCAGGCTGGGCTGGGCTTTTCAGCTCTGCTGGGTGGGAGGGGTTGCCCCTGCACTCATTGTCGTCCCTGCCAGCCCAACTGCCAGCCCACTAAGCCTACTCTTCTGCCTGGTCTTTCCCACTGCTGTTTCTCTGGGGTCAGCAAGTTCCCCCACTGGGGTCACAGGGTTTGTGGTCTGGTTGAAGAAGAGTGTCCAGCGAGTAATTTGTGAGGCTCCTGGGGAAGAAGTGTTATGGGTGGTGTTTGTATCTCCTGGGAGTTCTTTTTTCCAGGGACAGAAGGCTGAGGGGAGACCTTCTCAGTCTCTCCAGGTACCAGAAAGATGTTGGTTACAAGGTGGCTTTTGGCCCCTTTTCCTGAGAACAAGAGGAAATGGCCTCAGGTTCCTGCAGTCCTGCCTGACCATGGTTGAGTTGTCCCTGCTTGAGCCTTTGGACTGAACTGCTGCACGGGCAGGCAGTGCTAGGGGATGGAGGAATATATTTCAAGTAGAACAGGAGAGGTTTAGGTGAGATGTCAGACATAAATTCTTCCCTGTGAGGGTGGGGAGGCTGTGGCAGGGGTTGCCCAGAGAAGCTGTGGCTGCTCCATCCCTGGCAGTGTGCAGGGCCAGGTTGGACAGGGGTCACCTCAACCTGGCCTTTTCTAAGGTGTCCCTGCCCACGGCAGGTGGTTGGGATAAATTGGTCTGCAAAATCTTTGCCACCTGAACCATTTAATCAACATGCCACGATCTCCTCGCAGAGATTCCTTGAGCACCACTGATTCTTTTTTCTGCGGGAGCCATTTGGTGTCCTGGGGAGGCCACTCTCTGTCAGCTTGGAAAGGTCATTCTTCCTTTGGAGCAATTCTTGAGGGATGAAAGAGAGCTGATTCCCTGGAATTGTGACTGAGAGCAAGACAGAGGACCTGGAAAAGTTTGGGCTGCTGAGACTGAATTCAGGCTGCTCAGGTTCCACTCATATGGTGCATTAAGTTTCAGAAATTTTCACAAAACAAGGTATTTTGTTAACATACCTTTATTTCTTGACCTCTTGAGGAAATGCAATAACCAAAGCCCCAACGGGGCTCGATCCCTTTGTGCCCAGGCTGGGCTGTGACCCCAATTCCCTTATTCCGCATTCAAGCCATGAGGTTTCATAACATATAACCCAATATTGTAACATCCTGTACCTATTAGTAAAATATTATAATGACTGGTGATTGATCAGTGGGCTCCACTCTCCTCTTCTATCCTTGTGCAGACATTCCTTTGTGGAATTCTGTCATTCAATGTCCTACCCTTGAGGCTGTGTCCATCTGACCTTGGTGGCAGCTTTGAGGAGTTGGTTTTTGGGAGGGTTGGCTTGTTGGGTGTGTGTCAGGGAGGGCTGAATAAACCAAAGGCAAAGGAAATTGGTGGTGCCATCAGTGAGGTCCCCCCGTGTCCCTGGTGTGCTGTGGTTTGGGGCCATTGTGAAGATGAGGCCCCAAAGCCTCCCAGGCAGAGCTGCCCCCCTGGAGCCCCGGGGAGAGTTTGCAGGGGGTTTGTCAGGCGAGCAGTGAGTGTTGCTGGGCAAGGGGAAGGCCTGGAGGAAGGTTTGCTGTGTCCCTTGGTGCAGCTGTGGCCTCAGGGCCTGAGGTGCTGCAGCCAGGAATGCTGAGGGAGCTGCCTGATGTGCTGGGGAGGCCACTGTGCTCCTCTTGCCATCAGCTGCTCCTGGGCACAGTGCCTGGGAGCGCTTGCTGAGGGCTGACAGAGAGCTCCTGGCTTGGTTTCTGGAGGCAGAGCAGGAGTGAGTGCCTGGAGAAGTGGCCTGTGCTCAGGTGCCCTCATTGCCAGGGTTACGGTGCCTTTGGATCTCTCAGATTTACAGGCCATGAGACTCTGTCCTTGCAACTGAGTTTGTGACCTCATCAAGAAATGCAATGAACAAGCAACAGCAGGGCTTGGTCCCTTTTTGCCCAGGCTGGTCTGTGACATCAGTTCACTTGGTCAGCATTCAGACCATAAGGTTTTATAACTTATTAGCCCTAATTCTTAATATCTTTTCTCTTGTGAGGAGAAGCCTCTGATCACCAGAGGAAGGTCAATGTGCTTCCTCTCCTCGTCTGTCCTGGTGTGGGTGTTCCTGTATCCTGTGGAGAAGCCTCAAAGGCTGAGCAGAGCAGGTGCTGGTGGATCTGCTGCGGGTGCTTTTGTGGCTGGGCTGATGTTCTGAACCTTGCACAGTGGAGGTTTGACCTTCACCATTTCCATCAGGGTCATGGATTAAGGGCAAGCTCGGCAAGAGTGTGGATGAGCCCAAGCTGAGTGTTGTGGTTGTTCCTGTGGAGGGAAGGGATGGCAGCCAGAGGGGCCTGGACAGGCTGGGCAGGAGGAGCTGTGTGATCCTCCTGAAATTCCACAGGGCCAGGAGCTGGTGGGTTGTGTGAGTCCCTAAGAGGGCTGCAGGCTGGTGGGGACTGTTTGAGAGCAGCCCTGTGGAGAAGGCTTGGAGGGCACTGTTGGGTGAAGAAGTGAATGGGAGCCAGGAATGTGCCCTGGCAGCCCAGAAACCCCTCTGTGTCCTGGGCTCGTGGCTACGGTGTGGGCAGCAGGGAGAGGGAGGGGATTGTTGATTACTGCTGATTTGTGGTGAGATTGGCCAAGAAGGCAAATGGATCCTGGCCTGCATCAAGAACAGAGTGGCAGCAGGAGCAGGGCAGTGATCCTTCCCCTGTACTCAGAGCTGCTGAGGCCAGACCTTGAGTGCTGTGTTCAGTTCTGGGCCCCTCAGGTCAGGAAGGACATGGAGGAGCTGGAGCAGGTCCAGAGAAGAGCAACCAGGTTCGGGAAGGGACTGGAGCACAAGTGCTGTGAGGAGAGGCTGAGGGAGCTGGGGTTGTTTAGTCTGGAGAAGAGGAGGCTCAGGGGTGACCCCATCACTCTACAACTCCCTGAGAGGAGGTTGTAGCCAGGTGGGAGTTGGTCTCTTCTCCCAGGAAATCAGCAGCAGGACAAGAGGGCACAGGATTAAACTGTGCCAGGGGAGGTTTAGGTTGGATATTGGAAAGAAGTTCTTTGCAGAGAGAGTGATCAGGCATTGGAATGGCCTGCCCACAGAGGTGGTGGATTCCCCATCCCTGGAGGATTTTAAGATGAGGCTGGATGTGGCACTGAGTGCCATGATGTGGTAATCAAAGTGGGGTTGGATCAAGGGTTGGACTTGATGATCTCGGAGGTCTCTTCCAACGCAGTTCATTCTATGATTCTAGGATGCAAGCAGAGCCTTGGGGCTGATGAAGGGCTGGAGCCCGCGGTGTGCATGGACACTTAAGGCAGCACCCCCTGGGAGTTTGTGTCAGAGGGGTGGGTGGTGTGTCCAAGGCTGTGTTTGGGCAAGGGAAGAGTTTGTGTCCCACTGGGGAAGGCCCTTCTGTCCCAGTGTGTGTTGATGCTTGTGAAATATTTCCTAGGAGAGAGCTGGTCCCTTCTCCCCCCATGCGATGGCATCTGGTGCCAGAGCTCTGTGCCAAAGGAAGTTCTGGGAGAGTTGGGAGAAGAAAGGCTGAGGAGGCATCTGATGTTTTGCTGCAGGAGAACTTTATTGAGACCAAAGAGTGAAAAACCAAGAGACACAAGTGGAAGGGATGCAGTGTGAGGTGCCAGTAGGGCGATGGTCAGCTGAGGTGCTTTGCTTGCAGGAGGTGTTGGCAGAGCCCCGAGCTGGTGGTGTAGGGGCAGTTGTTTGGGGGCTCAGCAGGTGGAGCAGCCCCTGGTGCCGTAGCAGCCCAGGCCTGCCAGGCCGTAGCCAAAGGCACGGGCAGAGCCGAGGCCGTAGCCAAAGGCCCCAAAGGCGCCGGAGATGGGCTGTCCCTGGGCATTGAGCTCCGTGCCCAGGGCAGCCCCTGCGCTGGATCCGACGGCGGAGCTCTGGGGGAAGGAGGTCATGATGGGCCCTGGCAGGGTGACGCGCACGGGGGAGGGCTGGATGAGGACGGTGGAGTCCTGGCACTGGGTGACACAGGGCTGGTTGCAGCTGTTGGCCAGCGGGGTGGGTGCGCAGGGGCGGCAGAGGTCGTAGCAGGCCATGGGTGTGGTGTGGAGGGGCCCTGTGAGGGCAGGGAAGAGAAGAGAAGAGAAGAGAAGGGAAGAGCAGAGCAGAGAGGGGGCTGAGGCAGCGCAGGGCCGTGGGGGTGCGAGGGGCGGTGTTGCAGGAGGGCGAGGCAGTGGGGAGGCTGCTGTGGGGCTGTGGGGAGGCGTGAGGGCTGCTGAGGCTGGGGCAGAGCGTGCTGGGAGAGAGGGGCCAGGGGGGCGGTGTGGCAGGAGCAGGAGGGGGTTGTCAGGGGCTGCAGGCTCACCTGGTTGGCGGCACAGAAGGCAGGAGAAGGCGTCAGGAGAAGCGTGTGAGGGAGAGAGGCGCTGGGCCGGCTTTTATGCAGCTCCCGCAGGGGCGGCACAGCCTTGGCCCAGCACTGTCAGCTGGCGGCAGCTTGGAGGGCTTGGTTTGTGGGAGGCTTGGGTTGTCGGAGGTGTGTCAGGGAGGGCTGAAGAAACACCCAGAGGCCAGGAGAGGTGTGATGTCATGAGGGAGGTGATTTGGTGTCCCTCATGTGCTGTGGTTTGTGGGTGCTTTGTGCTGAGTGGGCCCCCTCTTGTTCTGTAGTTGTCCCTCAGTGCTTGTGTTGCACCCAGGAATGCTGAGGGAGTCATTTTGTGGGTCCTGGGGAGGCCACTCTCCATGAGCTTGCCAAGGTCATTCTTCCTGGGAGTGTTTCCTGATGGATGAAGGAGAGCTCCTGCCCTTGTATTTTGAATGGGATCCAGAGAGAGGATCTGAAAATCCAGAGGCTGCTCAGCCTGAACTTGTTCCATTTTTATGCTCCATTTGAATTACTCAAATCTACAGAACAATGTTCTCTTTCCTTTAAATTGTATTTCCTGGCCTGATAAAGAAATGCCATAAACAATCACCCAACAGGGCTCGATCCCTTTGTGGCCAGGCTGGGCTGTGACCCCAATTCCCTTTATTGCACATTCAAGCCATGAGGTTTCATAACGTATCACTTGTAAGTTGTAACATCCTGTAGATATGAGTAAAATATTTTAATGCCTGGTGGTTGGTCAGTGTTCTCCTCTCTCCTCCTCTGTCACAGTGCAGACATTCCTTTATGGAATTCTGTGATTCCATGTCCTGCCCTTAAGGCCGTGTCCATCTGAGCTTGGTTGCAGCTTTTAGGGGAGTGTTGGATTTGGGAGGATTTCATGCCAAGTTCGTTTCAGGCAGGGCTGGAGGTGTGAGCAAAGCTGTGGCAGGTGGGGTGCCCTCAGTGTGCTCAGCCTGTGAGCACTCGTGTGCTGTGGGTTGTGGGTGTGTTGGGAATTGTGGAGCCTCTTGTTCCGTGTGACTGGATGTCCATCAGCCTTTGTGTTGCACCCAGGAGTGCTGAGGGAGCTGGGTGATGTTCAGGGGTCCCTCTCCAATAGCTTGGAAAGGTCACAGTGCCTGGAAGCTCTTCCTGATGGGAAAGGAGAGCTCATTCCCCTCTTGGCTTGAACAGGATGATCCAGAGGGAGGAACTGGAGAAGTCGAGGCTGGTCAGGTTGGCCTTGTTCCAGTGTTATGTTCCATTTGCATTTCTCAAATTCATGTGACAACATCCTCTGTCATTCAAAGTGTGTGTTTTTACCTCATTAAGAAAGCCAAGAAAGAAACAACCAGCTGGGCCTGATCCCTGAACCCAACAGGCTGGGCAGTTGGCTTTTTCTGCATTCAAACCATGAGGTTTCCTAATTTATAACCCAAAGTTGTAACATCCTGGACCTTTGATGAAAGAACTGGAATCACTAGTGGACAGTTGTCAAGCTTCTCTCTCCTCCTCTGTCACAAGAAAGGAATTCCTTTGTGGAATTCTGTGATTCCATGTCCTGCCCTTGAGGCCGTGTCCATCTGACCTTGGCAGCAGCTTTTCACTGTGAGTATTGGAGGCCAAAGGCTGGAGTTGATGGGGCGTGTGAGGGAGGGCTGGAGATTTGAGCAAAGCTTTAGAGAGGTGGGGTGTGATCAGTGAGGTCCCCCCATGTCCCTCGTGTGCTGTGGTTTGGGGTGTGTTGTGAGGAGGGGCCCCAAAGCATCCCAGCCCTGTCAGGCTGCTCTGGGCTTTCCCCTGTGCCTGGGCTGAGGTGTTGCCCCTTCCCTCACCTTCCATCCCTCTCCCCTTTGCTTCCACCTGCCTAAGCCTGACACTAGACCTGACTGTTCCTGCTCACTGTGCCCTGGGGGGTTTTGGGGCCCTTCAAGAGCCATTTAAGATTTTGAGAGCTTTGGCCTTTTGGGCCCTGTCCTGGGCTGAGCATCAGGGGGTGAGGTGCCTTCTCTGGGCATCTTTTCTGTGTGATGGGCAGGAAGAGGATTTGGGGGTGCCCAGGGTTGTTGGACACGAGCATTGCCTGATGGCAGAGCCTGCCCAAAAGGCCAGGCTGTGTCAGTGCCCAGTGTGGGGGGGTGAGAAGTGTCTGCAGGGCTGGGCCCAGAGCCTTGGGGTGAGTGGCCCAAAGGGCAGATGGAACAACAAGTGTGCAGTGCTGTAGCCCAGGAGCTGCATCCCTTGGGCCAGCCCTGAAAACAGGAGTGGTGATGGCCATGGCCATGTCCTGGAGTTGAGCAAGGGCAGGGGCCCAGAGCTGTTTGTGGGAGGGGTCAGTCCAGACAGGAGGAATGTCTGGGGTTAATTGGATCAATTGTTTTCCTGTAATTCCTCTGTTATCAGATCAAGCCTTTGTGGTGCAGCTGGAGAAGAAATGGTCCAGGGGGTGGCCTTGTACCAGTGTGGGAAAGGGGCCAGAAGTGTCCAGGTCAGGATTGGGCAAGGTGATGAAGTAGTTGGTGTTGACTCTTGCTGTCCCCTGAGCACTGGTGAGGGCTCCAGTGAGGAGCTGGGGACACTTGTGGGCTCCCCAGTGGGAGAAGCTCCTGGATTTAGTGGAGCAAAACCATTGCAGGGCCATCAAGGTACTGAGGAGAGTGGAGCATCTTGGCTAGAGGAGAGGCTGAGAGAGCTGGGAGTGGCAGGAGCCAACGCTGGGCAGGGCAGTGTCCTCAGTGGGGGTGAATCCCTGGTGGCAGGGAAGGAAGTGGAGGGAGCCCAGCTCTTGTCAGCAGAGCACACGGGCAGGACAAGGGGCCACTGGTGACAGGGAAAAGAGATGGAATTCCATGGGCAGAGAAGACAAACCTTGTTCTGTGTGAGGGAGGTCACAGAGTGGAAGAGGAGTCTCTGTCCTGGCAGATCTAACGCGGAACTGGCCCTGGTCCTGGAAAAACTGCTCTTGCTGGTTTTGCTTCAGCAGCAGAGTTGAAACACGTGAACTGCAGAGCTCCTGCCAAATTGAACCATTTTGTGACTGCTTGGAGGGTTTGAGAGTCCTGCTGGGTTAGAGAGTTGGAGCTGGCCCAGAGAGACTTTGGCAGAGGTGTGTGCAGGAGAGCATTGTGGTGTCAAGGCCCTTGCTGTAGCAAATGATGGGATTTTCCCATGTTCTGGAAGGTCCCCTCCATCCCCCTTCCATTGCCCTTCTGTGTTAGAGCTGGTGACAGATTTGCTAAGAAGGGTGTTATGGCCCTTTCCAACTCCCCAGTGGCCTCTTGATCCCCAGCATTGTGTTGGATGAGGATGAGAGAGCAATTGGAATTAAAAAGTAGAAGAGTCATGTCAGGGTTTGATGCAGAAGAACTTTATTGAGACAAAAGAGACAAAAGACAGGAGACACAATGGAAGGGATCCGGTGTGAGGTGCAAGCAGAGCGATCATGTGTTGAGGTCATTTGGTTCTATGAGGTTTTCAAGAGCCCCGAGCTGGTGGTGTGAGCTGTGGTGGAAGGAGCCTCAGCAGATGGAGCCCCTGGTGCCGTAGCAGCCCAGGCCTCCCAGGCCGTAGCCAAAGGCACGGGCAGAGCCGAGGCCGTAGCCAAAGGCCCCAAAGGCGGCGGAGATGGGCTGTCCCTGGGCATTGAGCTCCGTGCCCAGGGCAGCCCCTGCGCTGGATCCGACGGCGGAGCTCTGGGGGAAGGAGGTCATGATGGGCCCTGGCAGGGTGACGCGCACGGGGGAGGGCTGGATGAGGACGGTGGAGTCCTGGCACTGGGTGACACAGGGCTGGTTGCAGCTGTTGGCCAGCGGGGTGGGTGCGCAGGGGCGGCAGAGGTCGTAGCAGGCCATGGGTGTGGTGTGGAGGGGCCCTGTGAGGGCAGGGAAGAGAAGAGAAGGGAAGAGAAGGGAAGGGAAGAGCAGAGCAGAGCAGAGAGGGGGCTGAGGCAGCGCAGGGCCGTGGGGGTGCGAGGGGCGGTGTTGCAGGAGGGCGAGGCAGTGGGGAGGCTGCTGTGGGGCTGTGGGGAGGCGTGAGGGCTGCTGAGGCTGGGGCAGAGCGTGCTGGGAGAGAGGGGCCAGGGGGGCGGTGTGGCAGGAGCAGGAGGGGGTTGTCAGGGGCTGCAGGCTCACCTGGTTGGCGGCACAGAAGGCAGGAGAAGGCGTCAGGAGAAGCGTGTGAGGGAGAGAGGCGCTGGGCCGGCTTTTATGCAGCTCCCGCAGGGGCGGCACAGCCTTGGCCCAGCACTGTCAGCTGGCGGCAGCTTGGAGGGGTTGGTTTGTGGGAGGCTTGGGTTGTTGGAGGTGTGTCAGGGAGGGCTGAGTAAACACCCAGAGGCCAGGAGAGGTGTGATGTCATCAGGGAGGTGATTTGGTGGCCCTCGTGTGCTGTGGTTTGTGGGTGCTTTGTGCTGAGTGGGCCCCCTCTTGTTCTGTGGGACTGGATGTTCCTCAGTGCTTGAGTTGCACCCAGGAATGCTGAGGGAGCCATTTGATGTCCTGGGGTGGCCACTCTTCATCAACTTGCCAAGGTCATTCTTTCTGAGAGTGCTTCCCGATGGATGAAGGAGAGCTCCTGCCCTTGTATCTTGAGTTGGATGAAGAGAGAGGATCTGGAAAACCAGTTGCTGCTCAAGCTGAACTTGTTTCATTTTTATGCTTTATTTGGATTATTCAAATCTACAGAACAATGTTCTCTTTTCTTTTAAACTGTTTTTCCTGACCTGATTAAGATATGCCAAAAACAATCACCCAGCAGGGCTCGATCCCTTTGTGGCCAGGCTGGGCTGTGACCCCAATTCCCTTATTCCGCATTCAAGCCATGAAGTTTCATAACATAGAACCCATAGGTTGTAACATCTTGTACATGTGAGCAAAAACTGTAATTACAGTTGGATGGTCAGTGGGCTCCACTCTCCTCTTCTGTCATTTTGTGGATGTTCCTTTGTGGAATTCTGTGATTCCATGTCCTGCCCTTGAGGCCGTGTCCATCTGCCCTTGGAGGCAGCTTTCAAGGGACAGTTGGTGTTTGGGAGCAGTTCCGTGGAATCTGCGTCTCCAGCAGGGCTGAATCAGCAGTGGAAGCCTTGGAGCATTTGGGTGTCAGCAGTGAGGTCACCCCATGTTCTCATGTGCTCTCATTTGTGGGTGTGTTGTGGAGCGTGGACCCTCTTCTTTTGTACACCTGGGTGTAAATAAATCCCTGGGCTGCACCCAGGAATGCCAGGGGAGCTCATTGATGTACTCTGTGATGTGAACTGTATTTCCTGACCTGATCAAGAAATCCAGTCAACAAGGAACAAATTGGGCTGGATGCCTTTGTTTCCCGGCTGGTCTGTGATGTCACTGAGCTGATTCCGCATTGAAGCCGTGAGGTTTCCTGCACATGACCCGTCAGTTTTAGTGTTGTGGTCCTGTGAGCCAAAAACCACAATTGCCAGTGGAAGGTCAGTGAGCTCCTCCTTCCCCCTCTGTCATGGTGTGGGCATTCCTTTGTGGAATTCTGGGATTCATGTCCTGCCCTTGAGGCCGTGTCCATCTGACCTTGGCAGCAGCTTTTCACTGGGAGTATTGGAGACCAAATGTTGGTGTTGAAAAGGTTTGTCAGGGAGGGCTGGAGATGTGAGCAAAGCTTTGGAGAGGTGGGGTGTGATCAGTGAGGTCCCCCCGTGTCCCTCGTGTGCTGTGGTTTGGGGATGTGTTGTGAGGAGGGACCCCAAAGCATCCCAGCCCTGTCAGGCTGGGCTGTACCTTTTTAGCTGGACCAGACATGAGGAGCTGCCCCTTGCACTGCAGTCATTGCTCCCCTCCTTGGTTCCATCTCTGCCAGCCTGTCTCTATCCCTGACCTTTCCCAGTGGGATTGGGAAAGCAGTGCCTGTGATTCAGGGAGGCCTCCCGTGCTCCCCCAGTCTCGTGTTGGTTCATCCGTAGCGCTGGTGTGAGCTGGGCCCAGCAAGGTCCCACTCTGGGCTCCCAGTGCTGGGCTTTGCTGGGACACGTGGGAAGGGCAAGTGGGGAAGGGTGAGGAGAAGAAGCCCCGTGAGGAGCAGTGGCAGGGACTGGGGATGTTGGATTTTCAGCAGGAGAGGGGTGAGCTGGTTGCTCTCTGGAGTTGCCTGAATGGGGCTCAGAACAAGGGCAGTGTCAGTGTTGTGTCCCTGCTACCAAGCCATGGGAGGAGAGGAAATGGCTCAAGTTGCCCCAGGGGACGCTGAGTTGCCTCTATGGGAAAATTCCTTCCAGGGAAGGGTTGTCAGTTCTTGGCACAGGCTGCCCAGGGCAGTGGTGGAGTCAGCGTCCCTGGAGGGCTGTAAATGCCGTGTGGATGTGGCACTTGGGGACATGGGTGAAGTGGTGGCTCTGGCTGTGCTGGGAGAATGGTTGGACTCAATGATCTTTTGCATTTATGGTCTAGAATCCTAGAATATTGTGAATTGGAAGGGACCCATGAGGATCACTGAGTCCAATTCCCAGCCCTGGCACAGGACAGCCCAGCAAACCCTCCATGGCTCTGAGAGCATTTTCTAAACCCTTCTTGATCTCAGACAGGCTTGGTGCTGTGCCCACTGTCCTGGGGAGCCTGTTCCAGTCCTCAACCACCTTCACCAAGGTGAAAACCTTTTTCCTGCTCTCCAGCCTAAACCTGTCCAGACTCAGCTCCAGCCGTTTCCTCGAGTGCTGTCCCTGGTGCTGAGAGAGAAGAGATCAGTCCCTGCCCCTGCACTGCCCCTCCAGAGTGAACCCAGGTGGAATACCTTTGGCAAGAAAGTGAAGGATTTACAGTGTGAGGGTGTACACAGATGGTGGTGGGATCTGTGCCCCTGGAGATGTAAAACTGAAGTGACCATGGCCCTGGGAATTCTGCTTTTGCTGGTCTTGCTAAAACGGGGGGTTGAGCACTTCTCTCCAGAGTTCCTTCCCAACTGGATGATTTTGTGACTCTGTTTGCTGGGAGGGTTTAAAAATCTTGCTGGGTGAGAGAGTTTGTGCAGTGTGTGCTGGCCCAGAGAGACTTTGGCAGAGGCTGTGCAGGAGAGCATTGTTGTGGGGAAGCCTTTGGTGCAGCAGCTGATGGGTTTGTGCCATGTTTTGGAAGGCCCCCCAGCCTGTGCAGTGTGTGTGTCAGTGCTGGGGGGGTATTTGCTGACAAAGGTGTTGTGGCTCTTGCCCAACTCCCCAGGAGCCCGTTGATCCCTGGGATTGTGGGGGGTGAGGATCTAAGCCCATGGGAAATAAAAAAGTCAAGGAGTCATCTGAATCTGTGCTGCAGGAGAACTTTATTGATACAATAGAGAGAAAACATAGAAAAAAAGTAGAAGGGATCCAGTATGAGGTTTAAGCAGAGCGATCACGTGTTGAAGTCCTTTTGCTGTATCACATTTTTGCAGAGTCGCCAGCTGGTGGTGTGAGGGGTGTTGTGGAGGACCCTCAGCAGATGGAGCCCCTGGTGCCGTAGCAGCCCAGGCCTCCCAGGCCGTAGCCAAAGGCACGGGCAGAGCCGAGGCCGTAGCCAAAGGCCCCAAAGGCGCCGGAGATGGGCTGTCCCTGGGCATTGAGCTCCGTGCCCAGGGCAGCCCCTGCGCTGGATCCGACGGCGGAGCTCTGGGGGAAGGAGGTCATGATGGGCCCTGGCAGGGTGACGAGCACGGGGGAGGGCTGGATGAGGACGGTGGAGTCCTGGCACTGGGTGACACAGGGCTGGTTGCAGCTGTTGGCCAGCGGGGTGGGTGCGCAGGGGCGGCAGAGGTCGTAGCAGGCCATGGGTGTGGTGTGGAGGGGCCCTGTGAGGGCAGGGAAGAGAAGAGAAGGGAAGGGAAGAGCAGAGCAGAGCAGAGAGGGGGCTGAGGCAGCGCAGGGCCGTGGGGGTGCGAGGGGCGGTGTTGCAGGAGGGCGAGGCAGTGGGGAGGCTGCTGTGGGGCTGTGGGGAGGCGTGAGGGCTGCTGAGGCTGGGGCAGAGCGTGCTGGGAGAGAGGGGCCAGGGGGGCGGTGTGGCAGGAGCAGGAGGGGGTTGTCAGGGGCTGCAGGCTCACCTGGTTGGCGGCACAGAAGGCAGGAGAAGGCGTCAGGAGAAGCGTGTGAGGGAGAGAGGCGCTGGGCCGGCTTTTATGCAGCTCCCGCAGGGGCGGCACAGCCTTGGCCCAGCACTGTCAGCTGGCGGCAGCTTGGAGGGGTTGGTTTGTGGGAGGCTTGGGTTGTTGGAGGTGTGTCAGGGAGGGCTGAGAAACACCCAGAGCCCAGGAGAGGTGTGATGTCATGAGGGAGGTGATTTGGTGTCCCTTGTGTGCTGTGCTTTGTGGGTGCTTTGTGCTGAGTGGGCCCCCTCTTGTTCTGTGTGACTGGCTGTCCCTCAGTGCTTGTGTTGCACCCAGGAATGCTGAGGGAGCCATTTGATGTCCTGCGAGAGGCCACTGCTGCATCAGCTTGGAAAGGTCATAATGCCTGGCATCCCTTCCTAATGGATGAAGGAGAGCTCCTGCCCTTGTATCTTGAATGGGATCCAGAGAAAGGATCTGGAAAAGCAGAGGCTCCTCAGGCTGAACTTTTCCCATTGGTATGGTCCTTTTGAATTTCTCAGGTTTACAGGACAATGTACTCTGTTATTTAAAATGTGTTCCTTGATCTCATGAAAAAATGCAAGAAAGAAACACCCAATGGGGCTCGATCCCTTTGTGCCCAGGCTGGGCTGTGACATCAATTCCCTTATTCCACATTCAAGCAATGAAGTTTCATAACTTCTAAGATGTAACAAAACTAATAGGTTGCAAACATCCTGGACCTGTGAGTAAAAAATTATAATTACCAGTGGACAGTTGGCAAGCTCCTGTCTCCTCTTCTGTCATAACAAGGGAATTCCTACGTGGAAATCTGTGATTCCATGCCCTGTCCTTGAGACCGTGTCCATCTGCCCTTGCAGACAGCTTTCTAGGGACAGTTGTTGTTTGGGAGCAGTTCCATTGAAGATGTGTCAGGGTGGACTGAATAAAGAAGAAAACCCAACAAAATTAGGTTGTCATCAGTG